GCTGAACGCGTTGGTGCCGGCGCTCCCGTCTACTTAGCTGCTGTTATGGAATATTTGGCAGCTGAAGTTCTTGAATTGGCTGGCAATGCAGCACGCGATAATAAGAAGACAAGAATCATACCCCGTCATTTACAATTGGCCATCCGTAATGATGAAGAATTAAACAAATTGTTGTCTGGTGTCACAATCGCACAAGGTGGTGTATTACCAAACATCCAAGCTGTCCTTTTGCCTAAGAAAACAGAAAAGAAGGCTTAAACTATATCTTACAACACTATTTCTTTCGAAATTTTCGAACAACAACCGTCCTTTTCAGGACGATCAATTTATTTGATTAAAGAAAACATACTTCATTTCAAACAATTATTATTTATACAAATATTTCTTTGAAAAACGTAACCCATAAAAATGGTTAAAATTGGTTTACAGAAACCATTTCCAAAATAATGTCAAATGAAATATGATTTGGAATCAAGCACCTCCATCTTCCGGCAATCAGAGCAATTCTACTCCATACGTATTAATTCGGTTACTTCCTACACGTACGTGTAAAACATTCTAATTTTAACATTAGCTCTATTTGAGCAATTTTTGGATTAATTATGTTTTAATATCACATTTACGTTTGAAATAAACAATTCATTATAATCATTATTTTCGGTATATACGTATCCTAATTTATTTTAACTAGTTATATATAGTTTGTATATAGTATAAAATGCAATTAAACAATTCTATATATGGTACAAAAACATGTAATTATATTTAAGACTCATCGCATTAAGTAATAAGTACTCATCTCAGAACAATATTTCTGATATATTACTAAACTGAACAGATTTAGTAAAGAATTATAAAACATTCACATTCACATTGCTTTTTTTAATCGCTTTATGACAATATAACTAACAAAGAAAAGGTTGTATGTAATTCTATTAAATTCATCTTAAATATAGATTTTATTTCATATATTTTGGCGCGTAAATGCAAATAAGAAAATTACTCACGTTCCATCTTCATTCCATTTCGGCTTATAGTTTCTTACTCAATTTCACTCACACTCACACTCACACTCATGCTCATTCGGCTTGGAAGTATATGTATGGATCTTGAGTGTCCTTGGTATGCGTGTGAACTGTACCGGCAATTTTGTCAGTTACTTTTTTTTTAAATAAAAAATGAATGGTATAACAATGCAAGCCTTAAGTATTTTAGTTCACACACCAGTAGGTAGAAATTTTCCCGCCATAATTTTATCTGCTACCAAACGAATCAATAAGATATATAATTTTAAAAGCATGTGTGTTATTAAAAAAAAGTCTTTCTTTCTTTGAAACTTATATTCTGGGTGGTAGGAAACTGATATATTCTAAACAGAAGGAGAATACAAATTATGCTTGCAAAATACTCTTAATTTCCAAATTTTTTTACAATTTAATTCAGTTGAGGAACACATTTAAATATTAAGTGATTGGGGTATAAATAGTATTTCATTATGAAATATCGGTTTTCAATGTTGTTTCATGCTAAATGTTGTCATGCTAAATCGTATTGAGAATGACAGTACATAAAAAAAATTTTAAACAATTATTTGTATAATTATTATAATTATTATAATTATTGAAACTAAAAATTAACCGTTATTTAAATACGAAGATATAAAAGAAATAATTATAAGGAAATATTACATACAACTTTGTTATATTTACTTCTTTATTTATTTTTATTGAGATATATCTATTTAATAAATAATTGGTGAATTCTTAGATATTTCTACGTCTAAAACTAGTTTGATTAAAAGAATAATTTTGAATACCTACATTAAAACATGTTTCTTGAAAACCTAACTAAGAAAAATTTCTAAAGTTTTTTACTTACATTCAACTTCAATTAATTTTTGTCTTAAAATCTTAATATTTGAAGTCAATAAAAATATTTGTATAAATTACAGTCAAGTATGTGTTCAAATGAATTATTTATCTCAAAAAATGAAAATATTCGGGTCCTGAAAAGGACCATTGGGCAATATAGTGTTAATAGTATTGCATTTTTAAACTAATATTATTTATTTAACCTCCGAAACCGTAGAGGGTGCGACCTTGTCTCTTCAAAGCATATACAACATCCATGGCTGTAACAGTCTTCCTTTTGGCATGTTCTGTATATGTAACTGCATCACGGATCACATTTTCCAGAAATACCTTCAATACACCACGAGTTTCTTCGTAAATCAAACCAGAAATACGTTTAACTCCACCACGGCGAGCCAAACGTCTAATAGCTGGTTTCGTGATACCTTGGATGTTATCACGAAGAACTTTGCGATGACGCTTAGCACCACCTTTTCCTAAACCTTTACCACCTTTACCACGACCAGTCATTTTGAGTTTATAATTTTAGTGCAGATAATACTTGTCTATTCAGACTTAAACAGTAAATAAATTCCACACTAGATATGCACAGTATTTATAGAAAAAATGAACAATACAAAAGATATGAGTGACAATGCTTAAACACAACAAATTACTCAAAAATGGCACTCAAATAATTGAGGGTAGAAATAAACAATGTAAAGGATATTAAGGATATAATGAATAATGACTGTTCGAACATGTGAACAGTTGGGATGGGTCATAAGAGTTTGTTTTGAAATTTACACTCTCAACATTTTTTCGTTAAATTAAATTTTATTTAATTAATTGTTTAATTATGGCTCGTACAAAGCAAACTGCTCGTAAATCGACTGGTGGTAAGGCACCACGTAAACAATTGGCTACTAAGGCCGCACGCAAAAGTGCACCCGCAACTGGCGGTGTAAAAAAACCACATCGTTATCGTCCGGGAACTGTAGCTTTGCGTGAAATTCGTCGCTATCAAAAGAGTACAGAACTCTTAATTCGCAAACTGCCATTCCAGCGTTTAGTCCGTGAAATTGCACAGGATTTCAAAACTGATTTACGTTTCCAGAGTTCTGCTGTAATGGCTCTCCAAGAAGCTAGCGAAGCATACTTAGTTGGGCTTTTTGAAGATACTAACTTATGCGCTATTCATGCTAAACGTGTAACCATTATGCCAAAAGATATTCAATTGGCGAGACGTATTCGTGGAGAACGTGCTTAAGAAGCTATTTCATACTATTTAATAAACATCGGTTCTTTTCAGGACCAAAATTATTTACTAAGAGTCACGTATTTTGTTAAATTATATATATTGCATTTATTAATATTTTTTACGCATATATTAAAGGAGTTTTTGAAGCTCTTTGGAAAATTTATTTATCTGATAGCACTAGGCAAATTTTATTTATTGGTTGCATCTTTTCTCGTTCTTCTATGCTCTAAAAATTTGTCTCAGTTATTCTGTTTGAACATTGTTTAGTTTTTCATTTTAACAGTTTTACTTTGTACAATATTTCTCAATTTTCAAAGGACTATTTTTATTTGGACTTACTTTTATACCTTCATTAATTCCTTAAATGCAACAGAACTTTCCTTATTATATCTGAGCTTTATTATATTTAGCTTCACGATATACCAGCAGGAAGATAAGGACTCATTATCAGCTCTTGTGCTATCGTGTTTCGATCAAATTGGTCTCCAAGATGTTATATGCTTTCGTTACTTTATTTATGGTGTGATGTTATTAAATACTAGTACCAAGATCTTAAGCTTATTAATTTGGCTTATATGATGAAAGTTAAATTATATATGAATGATCATGTGTGTATTTGAGTAGTTTTATCCATTAGTGATAGACTTTTTGAAATAATTTAAGAAGTAAAGTTAATATTGTTAAACAATGTTAGTTCACTCTTAAAAATTTTTTGTATTACTAGTTGAGTTGGTATATAAGAAAGAATTGGATTTTTTTCAGCAATCGACTTAAAACTGTGGCAAAACCTTCTTCCTCATTGCCTGGTAACATTTTTCTATTCTAATGAAATTTCAATCGAAAATTAATTGCATTGTACATATTGTATATCACTAAAATTTTATACCATTAATTTAGGTATACTTATTCTATCATAAATTAATCAGAATTTTTCAAAATTTCAAAACTTAAAATAAATAAAACAAACAAATAATTTTAAATAGAAACGTCTAGAAATGCTTTTAATTTTTTATACTACTCGCTTATCATCGATATAGGTATAAACGAGTAATATACGACTAACCATCAATATAATTTAGATGATTTCGTCTGAAAAACAATCTGTGAATATGTAGAAAAGATTGTAATCTTATAGGGAGCCTCTCAACGAAATTGAAATCAAATGTAAATTTAAGCCAATAGCTTCTGGTGATCTTGAGCATATATGTACTTGAGCATATACTATTAATAACAGAAAGTGTTAAATGCAATCCATTGCCAATAGGTGCTATTATGGGCTGAATAGACTCTCGTAGAGGCTCCAGTGAAAAAGGCACTTGAAATAGTGGTAAGAGAAAGAAGGCATAGATCGTGTCTCCGGTGTAGTGATCAAGTTCAGGGAGCACTAACCATACTTAGTGTACGAAACTAGAGAAATCGCGCACACAGTAGAGGTACCTGATGCGATATTCTACTTCAGATCAAAACTTGGTAAGAGATTATTATAGCCAAATAAGTAACATAAATATATAGAATATAATTTTTAGAAAATTTTAAAATGCTTTACATTTTAATTAGGATTTTAGTTTTTCTTTTCATTATTTTAATTACTAAAATTACTGAGGTGTTGGCAGGTAAAAAAGAAAATAAAATTATTCATTATAAACATTACAGATATTTTCTTTCAAAACTGTACAGAATATATAATTTAAAATTAGAAATGGTGTATAATATGCCGTACCTACTTCATTTACATTAAAAATGTTATTGTATATATTTGTAAATAATTCAGTAAAATGTAAAAAATATTACTCGTACGCAGTGAGATGCAACGTGATCATAGATATATTCGAAAAAAGATACCCATTAACGGTGGGAATGTTTAGAACAGCTGCAATAACTGCAAGCTGTTCGGAATTAAATTTCATCCCTAAAAATGTGTCAAGGACAACATATTCACATAAATTTATTTTGAGATATAAATAGTTAAACGTTACTACCCGTATTCAAATTCATGTTTCTATTGTTAAATTAACGCGCCAAAATCCGGCGATATTATTGTGGCAGATGCACATATTTCTGTTACCCTTAGAAGAATTATACATATACAATCTTTAAATGTTTATTGGCATTAATATTCTATATACTTGCAAAAATTTTTTTAACCTTAATGTTAATGTTAAGCGATGCGAAAATAAACAACAGTATTACGTATTGTATCTAATATAGTTTTTGATTTATTTTATTTTTCTGGTTTTAAAATAATTTATTATGTTCACACTTCTTAATCATTTATTATTTTTCCAAAGATTATTTAATAATATTTCATTAAGAAGCACAAAGTATTTGATTTCCTAAAATAATAGCGTTCCTCATAAATATCAAAAAAAAGAATTTAGCACACCACTCACGATTCCATTGAATATAATACGGATAGCTACGCAAACATGTCGGGTTGAGGAAAAATATGGTATCACTCGCATATCAAAACGCTGATTTAAGTAATAACTCAGTTTCGAAGTCAGAGAGACATATAAACGTATCCCAAAATAGAATAGGTGCTGATAGATGTCAGCTCAATTAAATATTTAAGAACACAGTATTACTCGTATCAACAATATCAATTTCCGTATTTTATTTTATTAAAATTTATACGTATGCAGAGATATATCAATCAACTTTGTTTATTTGATCTTTTGAACGGTGCTCCGTTTCTTCTGTGTCTCGATTTTTTGACTTCCTTTAAAATGAAACCGAAGACAGAAAGGAAGTATTTTAGAATTCAACAAATTTATGTAGTTGGGGTGGTTAAGTATGAATCATGAAACAATACATTATTTTTCTGAGGGGTAAGTAAAATTATATGTTCTTGTGTCGAATAACGTTAAGCTTCTACCTCACATACTAGATAGCTCTACACAAAGTATTCTTAAATACCCTTAGCTGTTATATTATACTGCTATATGTATAGTAGTGTTCATAACAATTAAGAATATAATTCCAATGCAGAGGATCTTTTACCCTTCTCTCTTTTTTTTTGTAATTAATGTTTTCAATACCCGTATTTAAAACTTAATTTAATACTTGAATAAATCGACCCAAAATAATCGCAAATTGATAACAAACTTTAGGTTTTTTGTGCTTAAATTTAAAAACTAATTAAGCATATAATATTTCAAAATCCAACATGACGTCCACCATGAAGTCTCGAAACGATTAATGCAATTTTTAACAATAAAAGGCAAATATTCACTCTGCCGTCACTTGAAGATTGTATAATTTTTATCTCTAAGATACGAAATTAAGTCGACTTCACTTTCTGCAATATTTTTACTCATTTTTATTCATTTTTATTTATCTCAATATTTAATTTTAATTTTTTATTTCTTCCTTTATTATGTCTGAAAATACTTGTACGTACAATAAAATAAATATAAATTAATTGCTTAACAAATTCGCTGCACATTGAATAGACATAAATAATGCGACGACTGCAAACTTCGCAAATTATCATTAATCATTTCCCATAAAACAAAGTCAATATTGGTTTAAAAAAAAAATATAAACTCTATAATTGCTTCGATTTCAGTTTAAAAAATTATATAATTTTTGTGCTTATATATATTATAATTATATAATCCACAGCACGAAGATAATGGATTTTTGAGTTAAACAAAAAATGTTAGTATTTTAATGGTGGGTTAAATTAAGTATAATTATAGTAATTAGTGTTGAATTGCTTTTAGCTATAATAGGTTAATTATTGAAATTAAAATTTAATAAATTTAAAAAAAAATTGCAGTCATTTTAAAAATATTTTTTACTTAAGCAAATAGTTTTGAGTTGACCTCGCTCCCGCTCTTTGATTGAATACGCAAAACCTTATCTGATAGGAAATGTAGTTTAGTGTTTATTTTATTTTCAGATGATTAATAAAATATATTATATATATATACGTATATGTAAATATTTGAACATAAAAATATTGTCAAGACTGTTTGCTAATGTAAATAATTGCTCCCGAGAAAAATGAATTACTGCTGTTTGTATTAATCGTGTCTTTAAACAAAATATGAAATTTGATATAAGTCATATAAGCCGTATATGTGACTAATAAATAATTAAAAAAATGAGAAATTGGTTATTAAAAAATACAATGGATAAATGTAAATGATAGTCAGGATATACCAGCTATATAACAATAGAAGGAAACTAACTGAATTTTAATAAAGTTTTTATTATTAAGATTTTTATGCCTATAATCAATGATCAAATTGTATTAGAAAAACAT